ATACCGCACCAGCACTTCACTTTTCACTTTTCACTTTTCACACGAGTTCCCATTGAACTCCAATGGTATATTTGAATTTACGTCCAAACATAACAGACAGCATTCAAGAACTACTCACTAACCATTAGACAATAATTATTATCTGTTCTAAATTTAAACTGTTAATCCAACTACCACCTCAAATGGAAAGACGTGCTGGAAGTGCCTGTTCTCAACTATTTCATGCAATTTTGTAGCATAAACAATACCTAAAAGATGCAATTCCACAACTAGAAATGATATAATAATTTCGCTACCAGAGCTGTTAAGGGTGTATTTTAAGTAATTAAAAGCTTCCGATTTTAAATTAACAATCTTAAGTTTAAATTTTGAAAATCTTGAGACTAATAGAAAGAAAATAAAAGACAGAAAGAAAGAAACATCTTTTATTATATAATCTATCATTCTCATATACTAAAAAATTAATAATAATTTTCATTACCAGAAGCACAATTGTGACAACGTGAATGCAACAAAACTCGAACCGGAACTTTGTTTGCATTTACTGCAAATAAATTTGAAAGAATGATAAATTAAAGTTGTAAGGTGGATTCTAAAATACAGGGGGACAAACGTTACAGACATTTAACTGGGGAGGATATTTTCAAAAAAGAAAACCTATCAACAAATGCTATACTTCATTTACTCCAACAATTCAATGAACAGAACTATGAAGTAAAGCAATTAGTATTGACAAGAATGTTAGAAGAACTCCAACTTTCAAATTGGAAGCTGAAGAAAGATTATGGGCACCCACGGAATACACTGCTCCAGATTCATCCTTCACCTTGATGCTCGAAGAGCCTAGAAATAACCACAACAAACATATAAGAGACGCCATAGTTTTGCCAACAATGAACCTTTTCAAAACTAATTTTGTCAAGATAAAAGATCTCAATGAAATATGAATGTATAGAAGGGCATCGAAATATAGCAAGATATGGCACAGAATGCGCAGCATAGCGTGAAAAGGCATTAATGGTGTGCTGCACATTGTAAAACTTATGTTA